CACTCAGCGGGTGTTGCATGCATCAGTCCAAAAGCAGTTAAATAAAATGCGCCCATCCATAAAAAAAAGTGTCTCACACGGCTCCGGGGGGTGAACAAAGGCCTGATTATTACGTTTTGAACATGGATATTTTTCTTACAAAAACGCATCAATTCGCTACAGAAGGGCCTTTGTTCACCCCCCGGAGCTGTGTGAGACACTTTTTTTTTTAAATGGATGGGGGCTTTATATTTCACTTCTTTTGGACTGATGCATGCAACACCCGCTGAGTGGCATTAAACAGCTTGAAAGATCAAAGACAATTTTTAATATAACTCCGACTGGATTCATCTGAAAGAAGAAAGTCATATACACCTAGGATGACTTGAGGGTGAGTAATTTATGGGCTAATTTTCATTTTTGGGTGAACTAGCCCTTTAAATTAGATTTGATGATGCCTGCAGAAACCCTGTATGTAAATGCATGGATCAGAATGCTTCAGGCATGTTGATTGTATTTGTTTTGCTCCGTAGTGTCTATTCCGGCTGCTTTCTGTATCGCAGTTTTGAATTTTCTTTGCCAGCAACTTTGACAGTTTTAAGTTTAGGTCAAGTTCCAGCCTTTCAAGCTTCTCATAAATTCCACAGTATTGTGCCTAAGGGTTTGAATTTGACAGTGTAAAAGCCTTTTCACACCAAGTTACTTTTTTTTTTTTTTTTGGTTTAAAAAAATGCTTTTTTTTAAAAAAGTTTTTAAAGCGAAACAGTCTCTCTGAGCTCCTTGAACTGAGTCTGAATCAGCCATGCAGAAAACACTAGCAACGCACTCAAAACTCAACCAGGTAGTAACGCACCATCAACCCCCAGAACACACCTCTCAACCGTGCAGCAACACGCATAAAACCAGTCAGAACGCCACAGCAACTGCAGACCAACACCATAGATTGTAGGGCTGCACAGTTATAATTGTGGTTATTAATCACAATTGTTTACTTTTGAGAAATATCTTTTTACATTTCATTAGAATTATTAAACTTCCATTTAAGCACAAATCAAGAGAACATCAACTCATACCCAGCATGTAGTTTACCTAATCTATTTACTGATTTATTTTATACATTAACACTCTTATACATTATACTTTTCTCAAAAAACAGTGCCAAAAAGCTAAAACAGTGAAATTCCTAATATTTATTCCATTAATAATTCCAAATTATATTAACAATACAAAATAATTGAAAAATTAAACGAGTATAAACATTTAAGGATAAATAACCAGAAGGCCAATATCTCAGATGATTATGCTTAATTAATCAAGAGAAGTAGCAATCGAGATCATGATTAAATTACGACACTCAGGACAACATAACATAATGCCATAAAAATGTATTGGCATGGTGATTAATGTTCTTAAATTCTTAGCAAATTTTTAAATTTGGTTACGCTTTGTTTTAATGTGTCAATTAAGTACTTAGTAATATTAACTCTTTCCCCGCCAGCATTTAAAAAAAAAAAGTTGCCAGCCACCGCCAGCGATTTTGATGATTTTCACTAAAATTTGATGGCCTCCAGTATATTTTGCTGTATGAATAGTTTTTTTTCTAGCTTAAAGCATTCCTTTTTTATCAACACTTGAATATAGGTAGGTTTCATTCAAATTAAATTAATCATTAAAAATGCATAATTTTGAGCAAAAAGGTGAGATTCACATTTTTATAAAAAACTACATATGATATGGATAATATTCAGTACGATTATCAAAGCATAAATCCAGTAAATCGCTTCCATCAATACCTCCAAAGCTTGCACAGACCTACAGTATACCACTTCCTGGATCAACATTTTCAGGGTGTCCGCAGGTCCTTAAAAAGTCTTAAGTCTTAAATAACGTTTTCCTAATATAAGGCCTTAAAAAGTCTTAAAATGTCTTAAATTCGGGCATTGGACAGACCGAAGATCTTTTCTTCCCCGCGGTAAGTGCGTCATCAGAGAGAATTGCAGTAAATTAGCAGAATACAGAATACAAGCTCGCGCTGAGGCTCACTCTTTGTCTCGAGACTTCAGAACAAATGAGCGTGACAGCACACATAAACTCAGAAGAAACACATTGAGGTAAAAATTCACAATGTTTAGTTAATTCATAACATGATATAGTTAAATAACACCATGACAAGTGAGCTATTTTACTCAATATACTCACGACGCAAAAAAAAACAAACATTCAAAACACCTACAGAGTGCAGGCATTACGTGAAGTCTAGTGCGCTCTTTCACTGCGTGCAGCATTGATATTTTGTTTTCTTTTTAATTTATACACATTAAATATTACATATACTGTATGTATGTAATAAAATGTGTATTTCCATTACAGGTTTAGGTCTTAAATTTCATATAAGGTGGTATTAAAAAGGTCTTAAAAAGTCTTAAATTTAACTTGTTCAAGTCTGCAGAAACCCTGATTTTACTCTGTAACATTATGCAGTTTTCACTTATATGCTGTCTATTGCTGATGATTATTTTTCATATGCATCTGTTTACATAAGAGATCGCTCGTTTCTCCGTCCTGTTCACGTGTGTTTTTGTTCGGGGGGGTTTTGTACTCGTTCAGAAGATGTATAACAGTGAAAACAGAAAAAGCCGTAAAAACTTGTCTTTGGCAGGGAAGCGTTTTCTTGTAAAAGACGAGAACTCGTCAATGGCGGGGAAAGAGTTAATTAACTACATGTTCTTAATATATGTTTATGGTTAGGATTATGGCTTGGTTCGGGGTTAGTTGCTTGTAATTATGCATAATTTACTGTTATTGGTATAGTAAGTACATGTAACAAGGGCGCTGTAAAAGAAAGTGTTACCTTAAATATTAGTTGTTGTTTTTTTAGTCATGGTGTCTTAACCATTAAGGTCATCAGAATACCTGGTCAGCCTCCTTCAGGAGAATTTGAATGCGTCCGTCTGCTGAAGTAGTCATGGTAGGGTTTGATGAACAGACCTTTTGTGTTTTCCCAGCATGTCACGGGGCTTTCTCTGTTGTGTTTTCACAGATGGCCAGGCTTCCTCAGGGCTGGATGCTCTGGGCCAGCAGCATCAGCAGCAGCAGGCGGCTCGTGTGGGTCAGTGGGGTGAACAGTCTCCCTTCCTGCAGGCCGGTGTGGCCCCCTTCCCCCTGGCGCAGCAGTTGGCTCATCTCGGCCAGCCGGGTCTGCGACTCCCTCAGCAGCTCCTCAGAGCCGGCTGGGGCCTGGGCCCGGGCCCTGCAGCAGAGGAGGAGCCCAGACCTGCCATGCCCAGGTTTGAAGACTCTTTGTCCTGTTGGCTTTATATTATTTTGCAAGTCTGACGATGCTAGAGTTCAGTAGTCTGAAAATTTCATATTTCATGTATGCGTTTTCATGCTAAAAGGTCATGATTCAACAGAATGTGTGATGAGAGGAACAATTGAATCCATTGCTTTTGCTTTCTAGCGCAAACCATTTGTGTTCCCCCAAGAAACTTTACATTCGCTTGCAAAACGGGGTTTCTTGGGTGAGCGTGAAAGTTTTGTGAGGGAATGCAAAAGTTTCTCAGGAGAACGAAAAAGTTTTGTGACCGAAAACAACCGTTTTACGAATGAATGCGAAGGTTTTTGCGAGAGAAGTCAAGGTTTTCACTCACAAACCTTTTGCGCTCTCCCAAGAAACTTCTGCATTCGTTTACAAACGGTTGCTTTCTCCCAAGAAACCTTGAGTTCTCTCGCAAAAACCTTCTCATTCATTCGCAAAACTGTTGTTTTCGCTCACAACCCTTTTGCGCTCTCCCAAGAAACTTCTGCGTTCGCTTACAAACTTTTGCTTTCTCCCAAGAAACTACAGTTTTGCGAATGAATGGCAAAGTTTTTTGGGGGTATGCAAGAGTTTTGCGAGTTCATGCAAGGTTTCTCGGGAGAACGCGAACGTTTCGCGAGTTAATGCGAAAGTTTTTCGGGAGTATGCAAAAGTTTATAGTAAAACTTTATCGGAAAGCAAAATTTTGCGTGATTTTCAAACTTGACAAGTCGAGTCACAATGTAGTGTGTTTATTGTTGATTGCAGTTTGTTTCATACTGTTTCACCATTTTTCTATGCTGTTTATGAAAATATATCAGGCAGTATTCACTATATACAGTGCAGTATGTAGTAAGCTAGAATTCCATTCCGACCGTATTCTAATCTTCCTGTTTCTTTCGCTCAATCTCTCTCTCTCTCTCTCTCTCCAGATATCCCGGTCTGTTGCGTGAAATGCTCCCTCAAGACCAGTATGAGCAGCGGGAGCCGGCCGACATGCCCCCTCCTCAGTCTCGCCTCCTTCAGTACCGTCAAGTCCAGCCCCGAAGCCCCGGAGACCTGCCATCTCCCTCTTCCTCCAACTCAAACCACACCTCCGCCCCCAATCCCTTCCCAGTTCCAGGTCCGCCCTCCTTCCCCGACACCAGCCGAGAGCTGCCCATGGGGGGCCAGCCCTTCCAGCAGCACCAGGCCTTCAATCAGGCCTCCTTCTCCCTGCCGCCCGAGCACACTGCGGGACCTCTTCCGGTCAAATACCTCCTCCAGGAGGCCCACTGGCCCCACCCTGGCCTACCCCAGAGCCACGTGCTGGGCCACGGCATGCCTTTTGGCCTGCAGGCCATGGCGCACAGGCAAGAGAAGGGCCCCCTCACGCAGCTGCAGCACCAGCAGCAGAAACAGCAGCTCCAGGCCCCGCAGAGCTCCCTGCACAGCGTAGAAGAGGTGAGGGCTGTCTTCAGTCTGTTAAATTGTCTTCACCGTTTCGCTGTCTGTGCTCCCATTGGTAGTCAGTACATAATTGCATAAAGTTGAACTCTCATCAACAGTCTCTGATGCTAATTTTGCCACAAATGAACAATTCTCATTGAAAATCAACAAATTACTGTCACTTGTCGCTGTAACTGCTGTCAAAGGGGTGATTGAGTTTGTTGTAAAGGAGTAATCCATGAAGGAATAATAACATTTAGAAATTAGTTATTTTAGCACTGGTTACTGAACTCAATGGGTTTTCTGAATGGGTTTTACTTCGGAAAATAAGCTCAAGATATTTTCATGGTTTATTCTACAAGATAAAATGGATCAGTAATAGCCTGCTTGAGTTTTTTCTCGTCTTGAAAAAGGCGGTTCCTAACAAATGGCTAAATGGGACTACAGAGGTTTGTTCAGACATTAAACGTCGTCACGCAGAAACTCATCTACTCACTAGTCCGCTTTCGCAGCGTCGTTGTGTTTATAATCGACTCAAACGTTCAAACTTCAAATGAGATTTTAAGTAATGATTGGAATCGTTTCGAGGCTTAATTGTGGTGACTCTGAAGTTTGTGGTGATGCTAACTTTCGCTTTTACTTCTGGCGTATTTAGACTCAAAACTCGTGTTCATTGTGAAGATGATTTTCATGAACAAAACGTTGAAGAATTGTAAACTTTTGTTGGTCACAGAGCTTCTTTTCTGCAATAATCCAAAAGCCAATGGGAAAATCCTATAGGGTTTTTTGTTGAGGGAACCAGTGTGATGCTAAATTCAGGGTTGGCCTAAAAGAATACGTCATCATTGCAGCACTCTATTACCACAGAGAATAATTGTTAATTGTCTCAGTTTGTAAGAGCAAATGGGAAACGGTTTACAGTACTGTACGTTCAATGGAAGTCTATAGGGCAAGAGAAGCCGGTTTTAAAAGCTCACATTTTTGTTGAATCATTCTACAATGTAGGTGGATAAACTTCTGGTTATGTACTAACCAAGGTAGGAGTTTGCGGCATGTAAATAGTTTTAAGACACTGAAATCATATCAAACTTCACTGGAGGAGCTGATTGTACTGTAACTCTGTGATGCTCGTGTATTTTATAAGCGTTATTTGTGATTTGCTAATTTTAACATTATTAACATTGGTATTTTAAAAGCTCACGCACTTGCCACCGAGGCTTCAAATATAAATGTGACCCTGGAGCACAAAAGCAGTCTTAAGTTTTTGCACCCTCAGATTCCAGATTTTCAAATAGTTGTATCTCAGCCAAATATTATCCGATCCTAACAAACCATACATCGTCCGAAAGCTGAATAAATACGCTTTCCATTGATGTATAAATCTCAATTTTGAAAAATTGACACTTAAGACTGGTTTTGTGGTCCAGGGTCACAAATGTACTTACAACATATTTTCTGTTCATTTATACACTGTACAGGACACGTGTTGAAATTGTCTGTGGTTATGACAGCATACAGACATTGTGTAGAAAAAAAAGTCTAGAATACTGCTTTAAAATGGAAATAGTTACACTTTTGGTATTCTTGGTTCTCTTATTTGGACTTCAGCTGCTTCCTTAGTGATTTGGCATATAAAAATAGGCTGAAAAAGGACAACAAATAATAAATCATGTCTGAACTGGACCTACATATCTCTGGCATTCAATTGAGCTCCCACTGTTTTGGATGTTTCAATCAGAGGGTTGGACACACATGCATCCAAATGAGTATCTCTTTGATTGCATTAGTTTCTCCCTATTCCCACACTCATTTTCTGTCTCTCAGTATGAACCACGGGGCCCCGGGAGGCCTCTGTACCAGAGGAGGATCTCCCCCAGCTCCCCCCAGCCGTATCCGGACAGCCTGGATCCTCAGGACCACCACACGCCCTCCTACAGATACCCCTCAGCAGACCTATGGACCCCCGGCCCGAGCCCCGCTCCTCTCCACAACATTCCATGTAACGGAGCGAGCCACCTCGTCCCTCACAGGGAGGTTTTAGGTGCGTTTCACTGACCTTTGCATGCGTAGGATAGATTTTGTTGTCGTGATGTATAAGTGCACTTACTCGTTTAATCAATAATACTAGATTTTTATTTAGGATATTGACATCATCCAATTATTCTATTTGAATCATCTAGCAATGAGTCAAAATTATTGTTGTGCTCAGTGTTGTTATTGTTTACTAAAACTATTAAAAAAACGTTTTCGATGGAAATAAAGCTGAAATGAAATTTCATATAAATATAGCTCAAAGACTTAGGAATATTGGCTTGGCAACTAACTGAATAAAAGTTTGTTGAAGTACCAAAAAGACTAAAACTGATATGTGACCCTGGAGCACAAAAGCAGTCTTAAGTCGCTGGGGTATATTTGTAGCAATAGCCAAAAATACATTGCATGGGTCAAAATTATTGATTTTTCTTTTATGCCAAAAATCATTAGGATATTAAGTAAAGATCATGTTCCATGAAGATATTTTGTAAATGTCCTACAGTAAATATATCAAAACATAATTATTGATTAGTAATATGCATTGCTAAGAACTTCATTTGGACAACTTTAAAGATGATTTTCTCAATATTTAGATTTTTTTGCACCCTCAGATTCCAGATTTTCAAATAGTTGTATCTCAGCCAAATATTGTCCTATCCTAACAAACCATACATTAATGGAAAGCTTATGTATTCAGCTTTCAGATGATGTATACATCTCAATTTCGAAAAATTAACCCTTATGACTGGTTTTGTGATCCAGGGTCACATATGTAAACGAAATAAAATAACACTGGTTTTGCTATGTCTTAATATATTCTGATTCTTCTTCTTGCAGTATTGCAAAGCTATTTTAAATCACAAACTAAAATTAAAACGAAAACCGAAAAAATTTAAAATAAAAGCTACTTATATAAATAAATACTATAATACTATATAAATTATGCAAAAATAACACTGGTTTTGCTAATGAAGTCATATGTAGGAATATATAGCAAATCTTTTTTCTTCTTCTTTTGCAGTATTGCAAAGCTATTTTCCATCACTAAAACTTAAACTGAAATCTTAAAATATTCAAACAAAAGCTACTTCTAAAAACAAAAATAAATACTGTAATACTATATAAACAATGCTATAATAATACTGTTTTGCTGATGTAATCATATGTCATATGCATGCAATATATATGTAATATAATATATTGTGATTCTTTTTATGAAGTATTGCAAAGCTATTTTAAATCACTAAAAGCTGAAAATATTAAAAGCTACTTCGAAAAATGCTACTACTACTAAAAATGTAAAGAAATGCTATATAACTAATACAAAAGCAACACTGCTGTAATTTGCTGATTTAATCTTACAATATATGTATATCAATATATTGTGATTCTTTTTCTTGCAGTATTTTAAAGCTTTTTTCGATCATTGTAGATAACGATATTAGCATCCACACCAGCGAACGATATCGTCTGTTTATTCTAAGCGCACGTGCGTCTGTCTGTTATAGCAGGATGGATTCTGATTGGCTGTCAATGTTTGTATCGTTCATCAGCTGGAGAATAATCGTTCTGGAAGTGATTCCAATGATATCGTTTCTCTGTGCCTTTATCGTTATAGTTGTGGTGTGGACTCTGCTTTTCTTTAATATCGAGAACGATTTTTAGAACTATATCTTTATCGTTATCTTTATAGTTATCATGCTTGGTGTGAACGGGCCTTTAGTTGTCTGGCGGAAATGCACTATTGTACTGATACCGATTGTACAGCCGATGGGTTGATGTTAAACACATTAAAGGGGTCCTATTATGCTTTTTCAACTTTAGTTAGTCTGTAATGTTTCTGTTTGAGCATAAAAAAGATCTGCGAAGTTACAAAGTTCAAAGTCCACTTCAAAAGGAGATATTTTATTTAACAGAAATCACTTTTTAAAAACAACAACGAACGACTCGTTTGGACTACAAAGCATATTTTCCCGGGATTTGTGACATCACAAATATCGACGAATGGGACGAGACCTGGTTGAGCTGCACTAGAGAAGGCAACGAGTGTTATCACTATGTCGGAGACATGCTAGCTTTCCCAAGGCAGACGAACTTAGAGTGGTTACAATCATCCGGGTTTAAATCGCGCTCAAATTAATTGGATTTTTGATGCAATATTTACACTGAAGCTCGCAGGCTATAGTAAGGGACGTGACATTTCCCGACCAGGCACCGAGTGAGCCAATCACAGCACACACTGGCCCAGCTAACCAATCACGGCACACACTGGCCCAGCTAACCAATCACGGCACACACTGGCCCAGCTAACCAATCACAGCACATTTCGTATTTCAGAAGGCGGGCCTTCATTTGATACAGGAACTATTCGAGCCGTTCATGCCAGACTGGGGAGAGAGGTGTTGTAATAATGTAAAATATGTGAAAAATAATGTGTTTTTCGAACAACCTAGTATGAGAGCCTGTTCTAGTACACCCCCAAAACAAAATCAAGACTTTGTAAAAGAGCATAATAGGACCCCTTTAAGTTTTGCTCATTCATAGAATCAACCTTAAAAACATAACTTTACTCATTTAAAAAAAAAAATCTCTATATGGAGTGAAATGTAAGAACTTGTTTATTAGCGGTTTAATAATGAACATTAGTGTTGCCTGTGATCCCATTAACCAGTGTACATTAGACCTATGATGAATATTATAACTGACACTTAATCCTGTTGAAGTAATAACGACGTGCGCTAATTGTTCCTCAGTTTCAAAGGCGATGAGTGTCGCAGATGAGCAGCAGTCGCCTCACCCCGCCAGCGCCGCGTCTCTCCAG